ATAGAGAGAGATCAGTGGTGCGGGATGGAGAAGAGTTTATGGCATGTTTGATCCATGGCAGCTGGTGTGCCCATTTCATTGGATCATGATGACATAAAATGCACATATTAGTCTCTACTTTCTGGTTGGCCTTGTCTGTCTGCCCATCAGTCTTTGTGTGGAAAACCAACACCAAACTGACAGAGATCCCCAGCTTGGCACAGAACTCCTTCCACTACTGAGCTTCGAACTGGCAACCCTTGTCAGACACAATGTCCATAGGGAGACCGTGCAAGCAAAAAAACTCTCTGGCCAGAATGTTTCCCATCTACTTGGCAGTGGGAAGTTTGGGCAGCGGAACCAGATGGACCATTTTGGAGAAATGGCCGATGATGGTGAGGAAGACTGAGTTGCCTTCAGAGACAGTGGGTATCAAGATATTGTTACCATCTAGTCCAAGGACTTGGCGGGAGGCTAGAGAGGGAAGAAGCTTACCCCTAAGTGCCTGGCAAGTCCCTCATCCATATAACACAGTATGTGCTCCTCAAACAATAATGCGGAAAAAGTTTGAGACTTAGCAGGAAAATAAGAATGATCGGTAACAACTCTGGGGAGATAGACAGTTTAGTACGACTCAGTAGAGTTCTCCCCCACCTCTTTTGAGCTGGCCTTTTAACGGGCAGTTCTTAATGTGGTGACCATCACCACAACAACAAAGACATAAGTTGAGCTGATGTTGTCAAAACGCTCCTCCTTGGAAATACGTGTCCTTCCAAGCTGCATGGGTTCCGGCTCAGTCCCCTGGGTGGGTGAAGAAACATCAGCTGGTGCAGGTGTGATCGGTCTGGAGTTGGTTGATGTCATCTGCCTCAATTCTCTGCAACGTTCCATGAGCCGGAGGTCGATCCTTGTGGCCAGGTCCTCTAGCTGCTTTGAAGTCTTTAGAAAGTCAACTCATCGTTAATCCTCTTGTTCAGTCCTATGATGAAAACATCCATCAAGGTGTCTTTGTTCCATCAACTGTCAGATGATAAGAGATGATAGTCTATGATGTATTCTACCACTCATTGTTCCCCTGTTAGATGGACAACACAACAAGGTAAAACAGGGCTGAACATACGCACTAGTTCCTGAGAGAAAGCCTGGTAAGAGTGACAGATGCTAGAGTTGCTCTGGCACTCGGAAGCTAATAGGGACATCCCATAGGCGATCTTACAGCGTTCAGAGGGATAACACGGAGGCTGTGACTCAAAGTCAATTTCACATTGAGTGAGTAAAGCCCTGCATTGATCAGGTTAGCATGTGAATGATTCAGACAGTGATAGGTGTGGCTCTTGACTAGCCTGAGCAACATGAAGTGGCGTGCTAACAGAGGCGAACATATGTGGAAGTGGCTTAATGGGTAAAGCCTGGCCATGTAAGTGGGATAAGAATACATGGATGCCAGTTTCAAGTTGTGAAATGGATTGTTCTACACCTGCTCACAACTGATTGTGTGGTGATGAGTCCATGTTGGCTCAGTTTATTCTGTAATGATCAGAACAGACTGATCCAGAATTCAAACCAGACAACCAGTGTGAAAGTTTAACAGTTTTTTTTAAAACAAAGCCGCTTCAGGTAGTTTCAGCGACTAGGGCAGGAACCTCTGGAAACAGAGACAGAGGGTTAGTAACCAGGTTAGCTTTAAGATGTGCATCAATCACAAACATAATGGTCACTAACCTTCTCTTAGTCCTCAGTGTGGAAAGAACCATGAGGTTAGGTTTGAGCCGTTTGACAGTAGCACTGATGTTGCTGTCACAGGTCAGCAAGTCCCTGAGATTAACTCCAGCCGAGTTACAATAATCCATGATCAGGCAGAAGGTCAGAACCGTCAAGACAATAGCAGGCAGGAGGTACAAGAGGACAAACCAGAATCCATAGTCGGGGGTGAAGGCCAGGGTCAGAGCCAGGTGACGAGAAGTCCAATGAAGCACCAGAGGGCAATCCAGGACGAGGTCGCGAAACAGTTGCAGGTTAGACAATGAGCAGGCACACAAATAGATCAGGGTCAGACAGAACAGGCAGGCAGTCAAGTCAGACAGGGATGAGGCAGGCTCAGAAATAGGGACAGGTCAGGTCAGGCAAACAGGCAGGAAGTTGGGAATAAGAATGCTGGAATAGATCTCACCAATGGCTTGAAATAATCTGGCACTGATGTTTGGTCTGAAGGCTGGTTATATGCAGATAGGTTCAGGTAGATCAGACGATTATTTTGGAAAGCGATTAATCTGTTAAATCTTTTTTTTGATTAATCCATTAATAATTGGATAGCGAAAGATTCTTTATGAAAATAAACCAGATGAAACCCAAACTTTTTCACCTGAGGAATTCTGGCGAGAGTATACTGTCAGATGAAAAAAAAAATCTTAAATTCACAATATTTATATATTTTTTTTACAATCTTGGTATAATTACGGGTCTAAATGGGTTGCTCTGTCAGCTAAAGGCATGTTTTACAGTCTCTACACTCCACTTAATTAGTTGACGATTATTTCAATAATTGATTAATCACAATTAATCCAATTAATTGTCTCAGACCTAGCTGAGATCATGACATATATATATTCTGTTAAAAGGAAGTTTGGAGTCATATTGTCATATTTAGCAAGTGTGAGGGAGGGGAAGGATTTCAGTGGAAGAAAATACCCGCAAGGGAAGAAGCACACATAACACCAAATTGTGCATAGCCTGAGTGCAAGGAAAGTGAAATAAATGCAGTATTTGTTTTGGTTGAAGTTTGAATGTAAATATATTGGTGTCAGGTTTGTGTTTCTGTTATGTTTTTTTCTTTTGAGTATCTAGTTTTGCTTTGCACCTTGTTTTCTAGTTTAAGTGGGTTAATTCTTAGTATATTGTGTTCTATGGTTTTTTCTCAGTTACTGTCTTAGTCTTGGTTCTGTTATGTTATCTTGGGGTGTACAGTTTTTTGCTTTACTCCTTGTTTTCTAGTTTTTAGTGGTTTAATTTTTATTTTTCTTGTGTTCTCTGATTAATTCTTAGTTACTGTTTCAGTCTTGGTTCTGTTTTGTTTTCTTTGAGTATCCATGTTTGCTTAAAGGGTTTATTTGTTTAAAGGGTTTAATTATTATTTAGTTGTGTTTTTCTGGTTATTTCCAGTCTTCCAGCTTTTTATTTGTTGCCCTCTGCTGCGCTTTTATGTTCTCATTTTTTCCCTAGCTCTTTTCCTCTCTTGCTCTGTGCACACCTGCTCCCAGTTTCCTCATTAGTCCTCTCTTTGTCTCGGTCTCCTTTAAAAGCCCTCTCTCTTCAGTTCCTCTTTGCTGAGTCCTCGTCAAACCTCTTCAATCTTCCTCCACTTCGTCTCTCTGAGCCTTCCTCATTGAGTTTGATTCCCTGATGTCTCCATGGTTTTCTGGTTTGTTTTCTTCTTATTTTTTTCATGTTTTGAATTTTTGATTTTTGGACTCCTGGTTTCATGTTTGTTTTTTGGACTTTGTTTTCATTTTGGATTTTGGATTCTTGGTTGCCTATTCATTTGGACTTTGTTTTTCAGTTACTCATCATTAAATCTATTTACAATTCACCTCTGCCTTCCTGCCTCTGCTTTGGGTCAACAATCCACAAACAAATCCTGACAATTGGTCACACTGCACTGCAAAAACGGTCTAGATATGAGTAAAAATATTTGAAAGTGTAATTACCCTTAATTTGAGTAGGTAAAAAAGATGATCTGCCAATGAAATGAGTATTTTCACCCTTAAAGGAAAAGTCAGGTCAGCGAGGAATAACCAGTGAGTAATTATCTATACCTAAAACTAATACATTCACAGTGATTTAATTAATTTAACGTTCATCAGTAAAAAAAAAATAAGAAAAAAATTCTTTCTGATCATTGAGTCCTGGAATGGCCATTTTTGCCCAAATATAATGACATCTTCCAGCAGTGACGTTACGGTGCGGTAAGCCAAAGGTCATTCTCCCCGCGTTACAAGAAAAATCAATGGGAACTACTAGACACATCTGCAATCAACCACAATTATTTAAGATTTCAGGGGAGGACTTTACCATTGAAATTTACGAGAGCTATAGTTAAACTGACATTGCCCATGTGCATGGCAGTTGGATGTTGTAATACATCGGGTAAAAGTGGGGGGAAAAAATGGTTATTTCACCTTTCTGATTTATGATCCTCCACGGGCTTGTTGTTAGATTGACAGCTTTAAGAGGGAGGAGTTGCCATCGAACTTCTGGCCAGACAAAAAATATATCATTAATCCGTTACTCTCTGCTTCTGATCTGCGATGGTCGTCGCCATCATGGATAATAGCGCATTGTGACAAACACCAGCGCGGCACTGGGACTTGCTTAACAGCCGATACCGCACCATGACATCATAAACCGGTAGGTGGCCGTAGTGTTCTTTGACAAACATGGATGTCTCCGGTAAAGAGAATTTAAATGAAATTACTCTTTATTAAAAACACTTGTCATTTATTGAAAAGTATGTGATAATTTCATACTTAAAGTATTTTCAGAAGTTTGTATTCTGAATGTGACCGGACTTTTCCTTTAAAATAAGATGATTACACGTAATGTGTTTGAAATAAGGGACTGAAGATGTTTTATTTTTAATTTTAGGTGTAAATTGTTTTATCTTATTGGCAAATTGTCTCAATTCAAGACAAAAAATTTGCTTATTTAAAGGGGAAAAAATGGTTTTTTGCAGTGTGTAAGAGGGAAGCTTCAGAAATGTGATAAATGAAGAGGGATTATGAGAGGAAGAATGAGAGGAGACTGAGGAATTAAATGTCCAAGAGTAAATATACACAGATTACTACATGGATCTTTAAAAAATGTATTTCATGATTCCCAGCTGTGGTGTTATTCAGTCTTAGTGATCATTTAAAAAACACAAAGCCAAATGTCGATAATTTCAGTAATACCCCCTGGGTAAAGAACTTTGTCCAAGGGTAACAATTAACTACATAACAATCTCTGTATGAATAATTGTGTCCTACCTGGTAATCCCTTAGCCCATTTGACCACTTTGACCAGCTGTCTCTCCCCCAGTTCATTCAGGCTGGTGAGCAAGCCAGCAGCTGAGTCTGGTTGGCCGCAGTCATGTCCGGCGTTAACCACCTCAGGCTCAATGGACTCAAGGATGTTCAGGAAGACCATCTGGGAGTTCATGTTCGGACCTGATTTAGGAGACATGTTGGGAGGTACTTCTGCTGCTTCCTGTACAGGATGATCTTCTTCTGGGCTCTTCTGTTGTCCAATCTTCTTTAGTTTTCTTGCTACAAGCAGAAAAAGGAAGAACAGTAGGCTTAATTGTTTTATGAAAAGAAACAAATTTACAGGAAAAACTTCAAACCGCAGAATTTGACCTAAATTTAGCCATCTAAATTCAGATCAAAAATAATGTGACAGATTTTGCATTTTAAACACAGACATTTTTTAATTCAAATAATATATTAGTATTATTTATTTAAGAGTTAAAGCCACACTGGTGAACTGTGGAGAACAAAACTGGTAATGGGATTTTACCACCAGAATGATGAAACCACCCATATCTTTCCTATTAAAATCACAATCTTGCAATAAATAGTTTGCCATGGTTTTAGGGTATTTTGTGTGTTTAGAAATATCTTTTTTAGGTATTGTTTTCTTAAGTATTTTATCTCTTATAATAGTTATCTCCCTTTATATGTCTTTTTTCCCTATTACTTACTCACAACCTATCTTCTGATATGTTCCGTAGTCCAAATTTTAAATGTATCGCTTCTTGCCATAGAATAAGAAGGGATATGGGGTGTTTGTAAAGTAAGAAACAGGACCCTTGTTGCAACTTTTAAAGATTTATGTGCAAATCATTCACTTATTTTCAGAATAAACTCAGCTAGTCTTTGAAATCCTCAGAGAATTTTTGGGAAAATCAGAGTTCAAACAGCACAGCTGAATAAAGGAAAGTTTTGTTTGGGGTAGGGTTATAAAACACTATCTCAATTCTGAGTATCCCACATCATGTCATTTGAAAATACATTAGTTTAAGCATAAATCAAAGCAAAGATTAAAAATAAAACAGTAGCCAACACGCCTCCTCTGGAGGAGCCGCAGAGATGCACGATTCAAGATGTAGAACCGGTTAAAATGACAACCACAGGAAATAAACCTGTTGTTTAACACAGTAATACATCTCTCCATGGGTGGCTATGCATGGCATTACCTCAAAAATTATTTTTAATTTGCAGAGATTTGAATTAGCATTAATTCCTATCCTCTGGCAAATAAGTTTCATACGGCATGCCTAGGATGTTGTTTTATTAATACGCTGCTATGACAAGCATGTGATGTGTCACCAGAAAGTACTACAAAAAGGCATGGTTAATGGTTTAGTTTTGGTTATTAGAAGATAAAATGTCAGTTTGAATAGCTTTGAGGATTAAAGCAGAAGGAAAAATAAATATCTCATACAGATACAGACATGTTTAAATGCATTATTTTATACTTATTGGTCCAAGCTTCGCCTAATCTCACTATAAATACAAATGTCTTATTTGCATTTATTTCCACAATCTCAATTTTTCTCACTCTAATTGTATTTATGACTATGTCTTTCCTTCTCTTAGACTGCCACACATACGTTGTTTTTTTATTGACTACTGCCAAGCAAGTACTCAGACAGCAATGCTATGATATATCTGCAAATATTCAATATTAGAGGCAAATTTTAATAAATGTGACCCTAAAGAAGGGTGCCAAGAAAATCTATACTACTGAAAGAAAGTTGTAAGTTGTTTATCCTAGGATTTGTCTTTAAACTAATCAGTTTGAATCCAGATCCTGCCTCCTGCACATCTGTGTTCTGGTCTTATGCTTCTTTTTTTATCGTAAAACAGCATGTTCCATTTCTTAGTAAACTATATTTCGATTGTGGACTGTAAGGCCTTTAAAGTAATTTTAAAAGAACTATCAGTTTTCTTTATCAATCCACAGTAGGGATCAAGTAATATGTTTTCAGGTAATTAATCATATTTAATTTGCCCGAAACCTCCTGAACAGATGGGCCTCATCTAATAGAAGGCCCAAACATCATTCTGTCAGTTATGTTTGTTAAAAGCTTTATCAGCGAAAACTCTGACCACTTCAGTCCCACATTTTTACTCCTTTAGACTTTGAACTGCATGTATCGAAGGCTTGAAAAACAGTGGCACATTTGTTTGTTTAAAAAAAAAAAACAGTGTTTTCCATTTCCAGCTATAATCAGGAATCAAATTATTTCCAAAAAATTCAAAAAATCCTGCAGCATCTGGTTGAAAATGACATCCGGTACTCAAGAACCTAATTGGACTTCACTTTTTTTTTTTTTTTTTTTTGCAATAAAGAGGATTATCATTATGTAAGAGCTATATGGGAATAACAGAACAAGATGCTTAGCATTTGGAAAATACTCATTCACAAGTAAGTATTCATGACTAACAATGATTCACCACATGCAATCTGTGACAGCTTTTTTACCAACTGCAGACAGATTCAGCTTCTTTTTGTTTTCTGTCTTTTTCGGAATGAATGAAAATAACAGCAAAATAAAAATGGTTACTATGTCCAGGGGGCAAGTTACGAACAACCACTTCTGTTGTTCTAATGCTTCTAAATCCAAGTAGAGGAAAATGGCCGTAGCCTTCTGATATAATTCAAAAACAATCTGCTGAAGAATTTAAAAACAATGAAATAGGTGAATTTTCCTATTATACATTGTTAAATAACTAATCAGTTAATTAAAGGGGCAAATAACCTTTCATTATCATGCAATTCCTCTAGAAGAAGATGTGAAAAATTGTCTCATTATAAAGCTGTAGGTGGCTCAGTTGTTTGGTTTGATAAATATTGAATTGCTCGTTTCAGGCACAAACTAAATCTTTCAAAGGAAAATTGCAGATTATATAAGATTTTCATTTTCCTCTCTGATCCAATGACAAACATCTCAGGTGCAAATAGTTAATTAAAATCTTCTCAGGTCTTTTCCAACTGTGACACAGACAATTGTGTGATCTTTGCAGAGCAGAGTGTGAATCGGTTTGGTTAAGCTAAACATCAGCTCACCGTAGACGAGAGGAAGGCGAAAAGAAGACACAAAGAAGGACCAAAAAGTCTGGTTAAGGCAAATTTCTTTTCTTTTTTTTCTTATGCAAATTCGGTATAACATTTTAACCTAGAAAAATGAAATACTATCAAGTGTCAAGGTGTGTCTTAACTGAACAGAAAACTTATATGTGGAGTCAGACTCATTGTGGACAGCTTACCTGCACAGTGAGAGAACTGCAGAGTGATCTATTACGAGCCCAATTTGCTGCAAGATCAAATTCCACGTGTAAAATTGATCTCCAATTTTCTCCTCAGCAGGTGCAAATTTTCTGTGCCTTTACCAGACTCATCACGATTATAATCAACATCTTTAACATATCAGTCTTTTTGGAATGGTTGATTTTTCAAAGAAAAAAAAGAAAACACACAAAAATGTGCACTGCCTTGTCTATCTACTATCTCTGCATGATCTCAAGGTCTCTTTAGTTTCCAGATTCTAGACATCATTATTTCAATATTTCTGCAATAAAAATTGGGTTGCTACGAGGAGCAGTTTGTTCAAAGGTCCGGTAGAAAGAGCGAGAAGCAAGAAAGGTTAGGCGTAATGTCTCTAATCCCTATTTAGAACAGATCTTGTGGCTCCTAATCTTCGGATTTTGAAGCAACTTTATATTACTTGTGAAAACGAAGTCTTTCCTACAAAATGCTGTCAAGTTCCCCAGCGCTTTATTGTCATTACATTGTCACAAGTACAGAGCAACAAAATTAACTCTCTGCATTTAACCCATCCCCTTGGGGAGCAGTGGACTGCCATTGTTTGGCGCCCCGGGAGCAAAGTGGGGTTAAGAGTCTTTGCTCAGGGACCTAGAGTGGCAGTCTGTGGAAGTGGGCCTCGAACTCAGAACCTCTGGATTCCAAGCGCAATGCCCTAACCACTAGGCCGCCACTCCCCCCAGTTGCTATTGTCATCTGAATGCTGGTTGAATATAAATAAGGTTAAATAAGTTTTATATATATATATATATATTATTATGATGTACATGTAATATCTTAAAGCCTTAAAGTTTTGTTTGGAGGTAAAACTATTACCCGTTATTGAAAGTAATGTGAAACCCTATTACACAGTAAAATAAACAGGTAACTAAACGTTAAATTGTATTTTTTTTTTATTTGAAGGAGATTAGAGGTTTTATTATAAGGTATAAAGCACTGCTCTATACTTTATAAGACACACCTTAAAAAGTATAAAGCAGTGCTTGATATATGGACAGACAAATGTAATGTTTAATCCATCCATCCATCCATCCATCCATCCATCCATCCATCCATCCATCCATCCATCCATCCATCCATCCATCCATCCATCCATCTTCTTCCGATAATCCCGGGTCGGGTCACGGGGGTAGCAGCTTCAGTAGGTCCAGACGACCCTCTCCCCAGCCACTTGGGCCAGCTCTTCTGGGGGAATCCCAAGGTGCTCCCAGGCCAACCGAGAAACATAGTCTCTCCAGCGTGTCCTGGGTCTCCCCCTGGGCCTCCTCCCGGTGGGACATGCCTGGAACACCTCACCAGGGAGACGTCCAGGAGTCTCCTAACCAGATGCCCGAGCCACCTCAACTGGCTCCTGTCGATGTGGAGGAGCAGCGGCTCTACTCTGAGTCCTCCTCGGATGACTGAGCTCCTCACGCTATCTCTAAGGGAGAGCCCAGACACACTACGGAGAAAACTAATTTCAGCCGCTTGTATCCAGGATCTCATTCTTTCGGTCATGACCCAAAGCTCATGACCATAGATGAGGGTAGGAACGTAGATCGACCGGTAAATCAAGAGCTTTGCTTTTTGGCTCAGCTCTCTCTTCACCACAGCAGACCGGTATGGTGCCCGCTTCACAGCAGATGCAGCACTAATCCGCCTGTCGATCTCCCGCTCCATCTTCCCCTCATTTGTGAACAAGACCCCAAGATACTTAAACTCTTCCACTAGGGGCAATATATCCTCCCCAACCTGGAGAAGGCACTCTATCGATTTCCGGCTCAAGACCATGGTCTCGGATTTGGAGGCACTGATCCTCATCCCGGCCGCTTCACACTCGGCTGCGAACCGCTCCAGTGAAAGCTGTAGATTATACCCTGATGAAGCCAACAGAACCACAACATCTGTGAATAACAGAGATGCAATCCTAAGGCCACCAAAACAGATCCACTGAACACTT